CGTTCTACCTCAATGCAATGCCATATGATGCATCCTACTTTATTATTTTACTCTGTCTAACTATTTTACTTTGTCTAATGCCAGACTATTTTACTCTGTCTAACTCCAGACAATTGTACTTGAATGTCAAGGGGAAAGAAATGTTGGCTCCGAATGGGTTAACTAGCCTATATTCCTATATATGTGTCTAGTTAACCCATTGAATCACATTGCGCCACGGTCTTAGCTAGGATTTTAGATCTTGGGCGTGTTTCTAAATGACCTGGGTGTGCGTATTTCTAGTTATGCTCGCCAACAACAGACAATGCCTGTGGTTGTTGTAGGCTTTGCAACCAAATACAAGGCTACGCGCACATTGCGTACTGACATTAAAATATTAAGTTTTTTCAGCAACTCTTGGGGGTATTTAAAACCATTTTATATAATACCATATGGTTCCCATTATCCATCAAAACATTAAAACATCACAGATCACTTTTTCCAATTTCATCAATTACAGTAGATTTTAGAAACTTTCTTACAACGAAAATGGGAAGAAATGCTGTCTGTTGTAAGCAGTAACACCTTATTTTATGAACCTACACGGCCTTATTTAATTAATTAATCCGCGTTCATTTTATCTAGCCGTGTTTTTCTATTTTTGGCTGCGATAACACGGCCAACACGGCCCTCTAGCTAAGACCCTGCATTGCGCCCTGATGCGCCTACTTTATTATTTTACTATAGTTTACTCTGTCTAACGCCAGACGATTTTACTCATCAGAGCGCTGGCACTTAATGGGCTAAACCATAGGTAATAACCATAATTGACATTTAAAGTTAAGTTTAAAACTGGCCTCAAAACATAGTCCTCAAATAAGTTCTTGTTCTTGTTTGCTTTTCTGTACTTTGCAACACTTTCCCATGTTGTTTATATTTGTCCTCATATGTTGACGAACCTCTGAGGCCTTACATCCATACTTTGTTGATAGCTGTAAAAAGACAAATACATTTATTTTATGTCTACCATTCCAATGTGTTTTGTTAACCCATTAAATATGCCCAAATGCACCCAATTTATTATTTTACTCTAAGTGGAGAGTCTAGCACTTTAATAGAATAAACACAGTAAAATAACAAAGTACTAAAAGTAGGGCACATTGCTTCTAAATATGCCACACAGCAGCTTTTGCAGTTAATTATTAACCTTTCAATGACCAACATTCATTTTGATGAGTAAAATCATCTGATAAATATCAAAGTACTGAAAGTGGGGATTGAGTGTTGCATCTAAATGTGCTAACGCCAAATAATGCAAAATAGTCTGGCATTAACAGGGCAAAATATTGAGCTTTGAAATGGAGCGCATTAGTGTGAATTTGTGAATTGGGTCTTAATGAGTTTACACAAAACACAGGGAGACAGCAAGGTAACCTATCAAAGTTGTCCACTCTCTTTCAAGTAAAATGATCTGGTGTTAGACAAGGTAAAATAAAAAAGTACTGAAAGTTGAGCACATTCATCTTAACAAGTTAGCATGAAATGTAAGCTAGCAGAGAGTCTGGTTAATTTGAATACCATCACATAGTTATGTTTATAAACTGTGGTTTAATTAATAGAAAAACATGGATAATTTTCCTGGCATTACACTAAAGCATGTCTAAAGGCTAACAGATTTTAATACATTGACTGGTGCAAGACCTCTCAAAATGAAAATTGTTTAATTTAAACAAAACATATGAATAAATACTGCTGCTGATTTGAGCAAGTAGTTAAATTTTCTATAGGCATGCATTAAATATGGCTGACAATTTACAATTAATCTGGCATATACAGTTGGCACTTGGGATATACAAATATATTAATAAACATGGATAAGTCTGATTCAAATATAAGACTTTTATAGTAGCATTTGTTGAAGTATAAATGCTATAAATATATTTATATCAGCATTCTAATTCCGTTTATATTGTCGCGGCAAATTCAAATTTTATCGAACCACATGCTCGAATTTCACAAATGAAGATTGGAGGTATTTCCTCTATAATTTGCTTTATTATAAATAAAATATAAACTTATTCTTACCTGAACATTATGCAAACATCCCTGATGTATTACTAGTGAAAATCCAGTTGAATCCCATCAAAAATAGTTCTATTTTGCACATAAACCATTGACAAACACTGACTTGAAAAAATATCGGAGGTGTGATGATCTATCCCTTGATGCTTTGCGCGCGTGGCAAGAAAACTAGACACCAGTCTGTCAGTCGCGCACATTGCGGTAATTATTCATTTAATCTTAGAAAATAAATATAGTCCCAGTATTAAATTCTCTATTAATAAATGTCTATGAGTAAAATATGATATAGGAATAGTGTAGTTGTATAAGAAATTAAAATTTCTATAAGAATTCTTATAGGATATGATAATGGTGAAAAAATTCCTATAAGAAATAGAAATTCCTGTAGGAAGGAGTTATTTCGTAAATTATATTTATCTGTATAATTTTTTATATAAAGTTCTTATACCCATGCATGTATCAGGCCATAGTGGTATAGGCTATGAATTTTTCCCACCATTTTCCAATCCTATAAGAATTCCTATAGGAATTTTTATTTTCTATAGGATTTTTTTTCACCATTTTCAAATCCTATAGGAATTTTCATTTCCTATAGGAATTCCTATAGCCATTTTCCAATCCTATAGGAATTCCTAGAGGAATATTTTTTCCTATAGGAATTTTTTCACCATTTTCAATTCCTATAGGAATTCCTATAGGAATTTTCAATGCCTATAGGAATTCCTATAGGAAATTTTAAGATCTAGTTCTAAATTTTAAGATCTAGTTTTAAGATCTAGATCTAAGATATTTGAATCAGACTTATCCAATTCCTATAGGAATTCCTATAGGAATTTTCAATGCCTATAGGAATTCCTATAGGAAATTTTCGTAAGGGAAATGACTCACCTATTGCCCATAAAGACACTTTTACTCGCGTTTCTGAGAAGAATTACTCAACCGTTGAGTAAAACATGCCAATTACTCAAATTGTGAGTGACTTTCCTCGCAAAATGAGTAATTTGACTCAAATCGAAAAGTGGATTTTTTGCAGTATAGCCAGGGGGGGAGTCGTGGGAGCTGTGGTTCCCTCCCCCCCGCCTTTGGAAATATTTATTTGCCAATATATATTTACTTCAAAATTAATTAAAGTAAAATTAATTCTAGATCTACTCAGTCTTTCAAGTATGCTTATTGATTACGTACCTAGTCTCAAACAAAACAAGCCAATTACCGTACGCGAGCTATTCTTGGAAAGTTGGTTACAAAACCATTATGTCACTACGAAAGATTGACTGGATCAACTGGAAACTTGAATGTGCATCTTAACCCAGTAATCCGAGATGGCCGAAGAACAAACCCTTAGCGTGATTTCGGGAAACTTAAATCTCAACATAAGTTTTCGCTGAAATCCACAAGGCCCACAATGACAGAAGAAAGTATTAAAGAAACAACAGAAGCAGCCGAGCCAGGCCCAAGGCCGGCACAATAGTAGAAATGCGAGAAGGCGTATCAAAAGGCGGCAGCAACTTCAAGCTGCCGCAGCCGCTGCTGTGCGTCCTGTGCTCAAAAAAGACCTGAGAGTTCTCCTCGAGGAGAAAAAAAAACAGGCAGCCCCAACCACAAACACAACGGCGGAACGCCGGAAAGGGTGCAAATAAGAAAAACATTACCGTAGAAAACCTTAATGCTGAGCTCGATGAGTACCACGCTCAGCATCGCCTATGTGGGCCAAGCCCCATGCTTTTGTAAAGTGGTTTGCTAACTGGTCAGTTTGTGTGGTCGGACAAGAGGATGTTTTATTTATTATTCATACATTTTGTTCTTTTAAGACAATTTTATTGAACAAATTTCTAGATTCCTGATTTTAAATATAGTAGAACTTATTTAGCATTTTAATATATTATATAGCATGTTCACAAACTGGAATAATTTTGTAAAAATAGTAACCGTAATGATTAAGTAATGATTCAAACTTGTAATAGTTCACTAAAAAGCCCTTTTGGGGAGTGGCAAATAAATACTACTACTACAACCCAGAGTATCACAAACGTGCTGCAGTCCGATGCCGTGAATTTGTAAGAAACTTCGAGAAGGGTACTGACATTTACAAGTTAATCAATTTTCAACACAATTAAAGACTTATGAAGAAAATCGTAACCGTCTTAAACCGATTGTCGAAACAGTTCTTTTCTGTAGTCAGAATAACGTTGTTCTTCGAGGTAATGATGACAGTGGCAAACTTGATTAAACAAAGCCAAAAGCCGGCGAATGAAATTTTAGGTGTCTGCTCAGGTTTCGTGCCATTCAAAGTGGTGATACTAATTTAGAAGAGCATATTAGATCATCCCCACGTAACAGATGCTACACATCTGGTAACATTCAAAATCAAATACTTGAATGCGTTGGAGCAGAGTTAAGGCAAACATTCAAACAGCTCTCTCTTTGCTTGTGCTATTACGATTGCAATAAGAAGACAATTTGAGAACACATTGTTTGCTTGAATATGAACAAAGAATATGGTTTGAATCCCGGCGATGTTGTTGTAAACCAAGACAATGGATACTTTTCTGCAGAGATGCGAAGAAGAAAATTAAAATGCGTTTGAGATTGAAGAGCCAAAACTTACTGGAAAGATAATTGGGAAAGCAATTGTGAAAGAAATTGAAAAATGTGGTGTATCACCCAACGCATCTGTTGCACAAAGCTGTGATGGCGCAATTGTCATGAGTTGAACAAATGTTGGAACATGCACTTATGTAAAGGAGCATTGTAAGTATGTAGAGTATTATCACTGCTCTGCCCACACACTCAATTTGGCACTCGTTAATGCGTCAAAGCTTCCCGTTACTGGCAACATGATTAAGCACTGTCAAAAATATAACATCCTTTCTAATTACAAGCAACAAGAAGTAAGTTACCTTAAGATGTGCTATTAACTTATCCACTGTTCACGATAGCAGCAAAAACCTTCAGTCATTGTGCGAGTCAACTCGGTTGAACGAGTAACTGCACTAGAAAACTTTGTATCAAATTACGTTCCAATTGTGAGGACAATGATAGCTGTCAGCAGATGGGAAGATCCAGAAGCCAAATCACAGGCTTCGTCGCTCATCAAAGCAGTGACAAAAAGCACTCTTATTGTCACTTTATTTTGCGTCGTTAACGTAACCAATAATATAGATATATTATCCAAGCGTCTACAGCAGAAAAACACCTCTTCAAAGGAAGCAATGACGGAGATTCAAGACATCATAACTATCCTCGAATAATTAATTAGTCGTGCAATCAATTATTAATGGCTTGTGTAATTTTGGCACATTTTTCAAATACCACTCTCGTAGTGTTAATCATTAATTGCACTCCTTCCGGCCACGTGATTACCTATACTTATATAGCATTGACATTTATATTACAGTGAACTATAATTGCTGATGTTTTATGATTATTGTACATTATTTTTGGTGCCCCCCCTATCCTTCTTTGATATTTTTCCCTATGTTGATGCAAGATTAGCTTGGGTGTGAGTCCGTAAGACCACAACCATGAGCACTCAAAAGGCAGTTGACCGACCTAGAGAAAACAAAAACTGTACATATGAAGGATTGGTCAGATGTACTTGAGGTTGCGGAAGGAAGAGGTATACATCTTGCCTGCTTGGGATGGGCCGAAATCTTTCTTTGGTATGAGCAGTTAGCTCCTTGCCACACAACACCTGGAGCAAAAACAGGTATGTTTTGCATCAATAATGACCTTTGTCAAGGCTGTCAAAACTTAAATCGTGATGGGATAATTTTATATTTGAGTTATATGAAACTTTTATCGATTTGTGTGTGGCAGACGATAACTGAAAAAAGTTTAACTCCCTTGCATTTGAGACATTTGAACTATTAAAATGGATGACCCCATGTGGTGGTCATCAAGTTCTGTGAATAATGAAGGCACATTAGATTACCCTGATATTTTAATTGCAGGAGTTGGGAAGACAGAATGCTGACCTTACAGCCAAACCGGATGTTCCTTTCCTACCCAACATTGCAAAGCAATATTGCAATGTTGATTGGCTAGTTGCTTCGAGCAAGTTGGTATCCTTACTTCTGCTAATTTACAGCAGTAAAACGTGTTTGCTTGCTAAGCAAAATATAGCAAATATTCTGTGCAAATATCGTGCTATTAATATGTATCAACTTGTTGTGTCATATTTAGACAACCGTTACGGTTGTTTTTTTTTCTGATGAAGCTATTCTTGATTATGAAGATCCACTTGATAGAATAAAAACAGCTGTACCGTATATACAAAGTTTATCCAAGCGAACGCATTCGTATTGCATACAAAGATGTCACACTTCCGTCTGGTGCAGGGCAAAATGAAGGTGTGTTCATAAATATTTTGCCTGGAAACCCAATGGTTCTCGGAGAAACATTTAGAAATGCTTGTCATTGTGGTGCCAAATCGTTCAAAAGGATTGAAATTAAATTGTGTGAGGTAGATTCTCCGTATGTTGCGAAAATGAAAAAGCAAAACACAAACACGACAAGCAGCTTCGTGGTACAACACAACAGAACAGCAGAGTAGTAAAGAACTGTTTCCGGAGACAAAGCAGGATTGAAAGATAAGTAAGTTGGAAGACATGAGCGATCATGCTCAACAATTACAAGACGAATTAGTTGCCGTAGATATTCAGCTAGAGGAACTAAAGGCCATGTTACACGGTTACACGGTGCAATTTTTCTTGCAACTTGCAATGCAATTCTACTCTTGAGGGATGTAAAATTGCCAAATACGAGTTTTCATTACACTCCTCCGATGTTTTCTCAACATATATCGAAAATTCTTCACTGATTTCACAAATTAACATCTCTCAAGAATAGAATTGCATTGCAAGTTGCAAGAAAAATTGCATTGTGTAACATGGCCTTAAGACGACCCCCGTTATTGAACCTCCCCAACTTGGACAGTACAAATCTATTGTCTGTGGCAAATGTCATATTCGTGGCCACCGAGCTGAAGGTAACAGACATAACGCAGCATGTACGAGAGAAGTTTGTACTTCGTATTATACTTGCGGACAAAATAAGACGCATCCTGAACATTTTGAGCAAATAAGGAACCTAACCAAAAAACGAAAGCAATTAAATTCGGAAGTCGAGACATTGAGCACCAACAAATGAAGTTTAGAAGCCTTTCAGTCAAAGTCTGTGTCCACTTTTGTTACGACAATGACTCCTCGTCTTTTAAAGGCGTTCCCAGACCGGTACAACACAACAATTACATCTGGAAAAATATTACTTCAGAAAGATCTGGCTACCCTAATGATCGTGTGTAACAATAAAATACCCATCTCTTTAATGGACAAAAGGGAATATTTTACAGAACTTCTTGAGAATCAGCAAAAGCAAGTTACTGCAAGTGATTTAAACTTCGACGCTCGCACGGCAAGTACTTCTCAAATCAATATTAACACTCACATTTCTTCGCCAGTAAGTAAGAAAGCAAAGCGTCATAAAACGAAAACAGTAGCAATGCCAGTGGAAATCTCGTCTTCGGACGACCATTCTACTGACAGTTCTGATACCAGCAGCGACGACAGTGAATCATTCGACGAAGGAAAGCGATCAAAATCTCGGCGCACAAAAAAAACATCGCCGTAAATATAAAATCAACGAAGAAAGACAGGCAATCCGAACAAAACTTTGTTACCGATTATAGCACTTCGACTTTAGACAATTTAGCAAATGCTGCAGAGCAAATCGACAATCGTACTTGTTTTACTATAGATTAATTTTGCATGTTTAATAGCGTAATTTGCTATTTAGTACCAGTGTTGACATTGTGTTACTAGTATTGTGCTATACAGTATATACTAGAACTATACTGAGTATATAGTATTTATTGACATTGTTTTGCGTTGGGCCTATATGCATGCCTTATAATTGGCAATGTGTAATGCATGTTGACATTGTGTTTGTATTTTCTATAGCAGAAAGTAAATCGTTTCAAAATTTGTTTTGCTGATTTTATGTCTGATTTTACACCTCAGGTTTTCTCAAGGCAACCCGAGGTATATTAGTCTGCGAACCCAGACGTTACTTCCCACAATGAGCGTGAGAAATGACATCTGGGTTCGCAGACTAGGGGTATATATTTAAATCAGACATATTTTCGTTCACTGGCCATGGGTTCAATGGGTGTAGCCACGCATGTGACGGAACAATCATGGATTACATTTAAAATAGATTATTTTTGTGACAAAAAATACGAAAATTCGCATCCAAATGGAACCCAATCGAAAGAAGCAGGTATAGTATGTAAATTTCAACTGGAATTGGCAAAATACTTACAACTCGTTCAAGACCAACACCTAAAATTAACAACGCTTAAGCACATTATAATAACGTTATTTCTATATTATAACGTAGTTTAGATATATGATAGACAGAGTTTAATTCGCTATCGAGTATCGTATATGTTTAAACTAAAAATCCACAGTGCCTGTAGAAGTTTGTGCACATGTTTGGAGTGATAACCTCTAAAGCGCAAAGAATTGCGAGTTCAGTAAAGTTTAAAGCAAAATTTTCATGCTTTCTGAGAAACGACTTGATAACACTAAAACTAAACTCGCAAGGGTTAAATTCGGGAGAATATGGAGGTTTGGCCAAGCATTCTTTGCAATTCTGCCTCCGCAAAATGTCTGTGGTGAAACAGACAGTTATCTATTACGACAATGTTCCCATGTGCTAACACAGGATTTCCGTAAAACTCACCTACAACTTGCATGCTTTCGTGGAAAAAATATAACATTTCCAAACCATTTGATGCTCCTAACAAGTTGTAGTGGGTTATGCCAAATCTGCTTTGCAATAAATTTATAGTGTAGTTACAATTGGACGTGTAACGTTTAACTTCTACAGCTCGCTTCCCCCTTTTAGCATGCCCATAATGGCGATTGCCTGTCGTTCTTTTAACTGATGATTCATCAAAGTGTACCCTCGATGGATCAACTTGGCTCATTAACATCGCGTACTCTATTGATTTTACTCGATTCTGTTCGTTTAAGGACTCTTGTGGCACGACTTTTAACTTTTTAAAAGTAAAATTTAAGTCTTTCCTGAGCACATCGCTCATAGTCGATTTCGACGGCAAATTTTCCAAGTTGCAAACACCATCGTTCATTAGTGCTACTTGTATCTCGAAAGCGGTAATGCTGGGTTTGGAAAGTTTTTGGAATTCGATGTATTCTACAACAATGGGAGTAGCAATTTGTCTTTCTTTTCCACCAGGCTTCAATGGGAACAAATGACCGCGCTCTGTGAACTGTCTTACAATATTTGAGACAGTCTTCGATGTGACACCAGTGCGAGAAGCAACAGCCAGGCACGGATTTTCTGCCCTCCAGAAATTATTTGCTCCCCACAAGAGGCATTTGGCACCGCCCCCAAAAGTTTTTGCACCCCTGCAAATTATATATATTTTGATTTGATAGTTTCATACTTGATTATTCTTACTACTAAATTTGTGAAATTACCAATATTAATATGGTCTCAGATCTCGCCATGTAGGCCTGGAAAACAAATTTTGTTAAACTTTTTCCTAATGGCCTTTCCGGGTGCCCCGACCAAAGCAAGCAGCAGCACCCCTCCCCCCAAGATATTTATCCACCCCCCGAATGAAATTCCGTCTCTGGCAACAGCTGAAAAACTTTCTCCAGCCAGCCAAAGATTTAACATTCGCTTACGAACGGGTAACGAAGCAATTTTGGTTTTCTGGACAGGCGACATAGCATATAAATATAATTGATATAAATACCGGTACTATATATAAATTTAAAATAAACCCTTGTAGTTGTACACTCAAATTTTGCGTGCCAAGTCAGTTGCAAATTTCCCGTGTTGATTGGTAATTGCTCCAGCCAATTACCGAAGGAATATTGCAACATTGCTCAGCAATGTTGCAATATTGAAGGGAAAGGAACATCCGGTTTGGCTGTAACAGCCAAGAACATTGCAGCACTCATGGTAGTGGATTTCCTTGTGGACTGTTTGTGCAGCCGATGCTCCAATCAATGTAATAGTTGGCAACTTATTTGACAATTTGTATTCAAGGATATTGTATTCAGAGATGCTTTGAGAAATAAACTTTTGAATACTAATACTGGTCAAATTAAAACTGCAAAATTTAATTACTATCGTATTTGCTTATTGTCTGGACTACCAACTACTTACTAATGAAATGTTCATGCAAATTTACATTTGTTCAGTGATTCCTCAACACTTACTCCCTTCACTATTACCATTAAGGCAGGGATGGATTTACTGGGGGGTGCACACCCCCTAGCCCTGGCCAGGAGGGGTGCAGGGGGGGTGCTATTTTTCATGATAAAGCAAAAAATTATCAGAGACAAAATGAGATTCAGTAATTTGAGTAATAACATGATGATAAGCGAACTGTGAACAACAATTACAATTCAAATACTGTAGCTAGACTTTGCAGTGGTTAAGCAAGTTGATGGATGTGTAAAGTCACTGGAAAGCAATTGCAACGTACTCGTCTGGAAAAATTTTTTCCCTAAAAAGTTGTC